TCAAGGGTTAAGAAGGTTTTAGGTAGTCAATGAGACACGTAACTCCTTTAGGGTATTATTCATTATTAATGTGACTAAGGCAAATAGCTTTTCTGGCTCTTATTAAGGATGAAAAGTACTTTCGTAGGGCAGTTTACTTATTATTGAGATTAAGCTTAAGTTTGGCACGGTGGCTCCTGCTTATAATCTCAGCTACACAGGAATATGAGATTGGGACCTGTACTTCAAGGCCACCTAGGACAAAAAAGTTAGACCCATCTCAACCACTGGCTTGCAGTTAACACACGCCTGTTATAATGACACAGGCTGTTTCAACATCTCTGAGGAGTGTCAACAGGAAATATGTGGATCAAACTAACCCAAGCATAAATGTGAGAGGTATTAAAAATAACTGACGTGAAAATGTCTGGGGCACCAATCTAGCACTGTAAGACCTTGAGCTCACACCCCAGTGCTACCAAGTAAATAAGCAGAGAAGAAATTAACCCAAATTAATGAAGACTCAACAATGATAATGACTATGCAATAGTGTGTCAAAACACTTGATTTCCTTTTAAAATGTAATAGCAGTAATCCTAAGCACATAATACTAATATATCATATGAAGATTAAAATTAAAATGTGCAAATTAAGAGGTATCTTCTCATTATGTTGAGGTAAAATCAGAACATATGGAATCTACTGTTCATGCACCCACAAGTGGATGTCCTGAGAACAGCACTGATTGGTGTATCAACTGCTCAAACACCTGGAATCCAATAACTTCGAATTCAACCTCATCCCTGACTAGCGTTGAGACAGGAGAGAACCCAATTACAAGAGGCTGAGCTCATGCATACGGACGCTTCTGTGAGTGGCAGCACAAGCTTCACACACTTGCCAACGTTTTATTCAATTGTTTGGCAGCGTTATGTTTTATACTTAAGTTTTCCTTAGAAGAATTTCTCTTGACATGGCATCATTTACAAGTACTTACAATAAACGTATAGCCTAAACACAATGGCTAATGAATGTCAATGTTTTCTTGTGTAAAACAAGAACTTTCTGAAGAGCATTCAGAGGACTCCTACATTCTTACACTGTTGAATGTGTACTCTCTGTGATGTTCAGGCAGACAGCAGCAATGTGTTAAATTGGTTAACTGATTCAGAATTTACTTTCAAAGTTGTGGATTTAGCAGATTATGTGAATGGACTCCTGCATTCTGCAAGGAAATGCAGTTTCTCAAGTTTTCTAAGTATATACGCCTTCTCAGAAATTAAACAATTTTTAAGCGTCAACAGCAATCTCATGACGTTGTTTATGTCTGCACACACTTGGCATGAATGCGTAGTTACCAAGTGTGGGACTGTGGTGGGAATGCTGGATGTGACAGGCCTTCCCCTCAGCCTGCTCTTTGTCTAGAGCAGGACTAAATGACTAGGGACATCTCCTGTCATCTGTCCCCGAATGGGCCAGCCAAGGGGGCAATGGTGGGAGGCTGCGAAGAGCAGGTGGAGGGGCCGGGGTCCAGCCAAGGGGGCAATGGTGGGAGGCTGCGAAGAGCAGG